TCTTCCTTTTAGGACTTCTAGCAACCTTAGTTTGAATCTCCCATGCTTGTCTCTTGCATGACACCCTGATCAGTCCCAAAGATTTGTAACCACTCATAGATACAAAGAAGTTTGGTTGAAAACATCAATATAAAACCCATTAAATGCTAACAGTTCTCCTCTCCATAAAATGTGCCTTCACCCAAGGGACTTAGAAAGAGGCACATTCTGTTCTGTCCCCACCTTCTGTTTCTAGCCATCCACAGCCTAGCATGACAGAGACAAAAAAGACAACGTGTGGCCATCACCCAAGGGCTGGTGCTCAGAGACCACACAGGAGTCTCTCAGCCTGCTCCACAGAGTGCCAACTCAGTGTCCTCACAGCTCTGTTCCTGGTTGCCCCCCCAGGACACTCACACATCTGACCATGCCAGATAGTGGAAGTGCAGATGGCCCCCAAACAGTCCTTTGTCCCCTTCTCTTTCCCCTTGGTTACAGGCACAGGGGGCAGAAAGCAGGCTCGTGTCCAAAGCAGGTATCCATGTAGGGAAGAAGACACCATCTCCTCTCCTTGTAGGGTCTGGGAGTAGCTACTGGGGACCTGATGCCTCAAATGATTAGGTTTCTTCCTCAAGGGTGACAGCCCACAACCAAAGTGGACCTGCTTCTTCTCCCATTACTGGGGATCTCTCTCCCTCTCCATCTCCCTCTCCTTCTCCCTCTCCCTCCCTCCCTCTCTCTCTCTCTCTCTCCTTGGCTATGCATTGTGGTAGCAAAGGAAAATGTCACCACCTGTCATCCACCTTCAAGTGTGCCTCTCCCGTACTGGATCAAGAAGTGGCTCCACATGGATGCAAGACTGTGTGTTTCCACCACTGATTGGTGGGCTAGCGTTCGTGATGCTCCAGTGTTGGTGTCCTGTTGCACACTAAATCCATTCATACTCTTTCCCAGCACCACAGCACCCACTGGCTTGATCATCCAGGCTTCTGTGCCATTACGCCAGCCTTTAATGAAAATATCAAAGAGGACAGGACCAGATGGGAGGCCCTTAATTCATTTATTCCAGCATGCTCTTGGTGAACTGTTACTGGCTCCAGTTACTCACCACATCCCTTTTATCTGTGCTCTAAAATTGTCTGTTTAATCAAAGCCAGCAGGTGGCTGGTCTCCAGTCACATTAGCTCCCAAGTACTGGGGTTGCCAGTGATCTGGCCTGGGGCTTCCAGCTTGCTGAAAATAGCAGGTGCTTCTCCACCCAGCTCCACCTTTCCCAAGCTCCCCACCAGGCACCACCACCAGTTCCTCTGGGTTGCTGGCTGCGTTTCCCTAAGCACTGCAGCCCACACCCCTTCCCACCTTCTGAGCTGGGCTCTGCCCTTCTCATTCCCTTCCCTGCTGAGACCTGTCTCCTCTCTCAGGCTACTGGTCTGTCCTTGTCAGGGAAAAGCAAAGGACCCTCCAGAGCACTGAGGGTGAAGTTGGCCAGAGGAAACCCCAACTCAATAGCCATGGTCCTTTGGTCAGTGGGGGATGGAGTGTGTGGATTGAAGAATGTTTAGGAAGTGTGCCCCTAAGCCTGTCTAACTTCTCTACAGAGGCTCAGGGAGGTCAGCCCAAGGTAACCCAACTAGGCAGTAGCAGAACTATGTTTGAACCCAAGGCTACTTGGCTCTACCTTCTACTCTCACAAAGACCCCTCTGGCTCCTTCCCAGCCTTGCCCCATCCTCACCCCCAAGCAACTGGGACCCTGGCTACTGCCCTGCAGCCTCTGGACACAAGCACAGGACTGAGCTCAACCCTTCCTAGCCCCTGTGAAGGAACAGCAGGTTGGTGCAGTGATGTCAACAGCAGCAAAACCATTCCAGCATTCCCGAGACCTAAGTGATTTGGGATTAAGCTTCCAGATCCAGCACCAGAGATGCAATGGGAATCTGCTGTCATTCTGCCCTCTCCAGCAGGTCACAGTGAACAGATGGACTGACCCCTCTCTGGGGCCTAAGTAGGGCATGCTGCGGTTGCTGGGAGGCAGGGAGGGAGAACAGTCTGCCATGTGGTAGGAGTCAATGGGAGAGAGGGGGAAGGGGCATGCCCAGACCCATCCCACCCCACCCTGGTAAGGACTGGAGGAGCAGCTTTCTGCTATCAGCTAGAAGTGGGGCTGCTGTACAAAGCAGAGGCGCCTGCACCTGGAAGTTTATAAGCAGAGCCCAGACAAGCCTTGCACAGAACTTGTCCACTAAGCTGGACCATCATTCAGATAATATTGAAGGTCCTGTCTAACTGCAAATGGTTCAGTCCTAGCCTCTACAGTGAGGCTAGGGTGGTGACCAGAGCACCAGATCCTGGCCAGGCCAGCATCTGCCAGCATGTGCCCCCTTGTCACACAGCTCAGAAGACAGGATAGGGCATGGGGTACAGTGACAATGGAGAGACACACCCAAGAGTAGCCATTCTAGGGCCAAAGGGGCATTTAAGAATGAGTTCACTGCTCATTCAGGGACCCCTGACTGTGCTGCTGAGCTTTCTGTGGGACAGGCCACAATAGGAACAACCCACATGTTCACCAACAGGAAAAAGGAAAGCAAACAGGGCATATGGACACAGAGGAATGCTATCTGGTATACCAAGGGACAGCCTCTGGACACAGGCAACTACATGGATGGATAGATAAGACTCAAGAAACATCCAGAGCAAAAGAAATCAGCCCTATGGAGGTGTCCTCAGTGGTAGATCCCCAGGATTAACATGCTGGAGGCCTTGGGATCCATCCCCTGCATCAAATGAGGGTGGCGCCCACACTGTTACTCATTTGTCCTAGCCAGGTTGGGCAGCAATAATCCCCACACCTCTGTACCCCAATGGCCATCGATGCTTCTGGCTGACTTCTGCCCACCCCAACCCAGGTTGCCATAATATGGTGTCTCTAGCACCCCTTGAAGCTGGAGATGTATCGTGGGGTATGACTGTAACAAGCCACCATGAGGCCCCACAAAGTGTTGCTGGCCCAGGCCACACATGGGTCCAAAGGTGAATGGACAGGAGCATGTGTCTATACCTAGTGAGACAGGGAAACCCAGGCCCCACGGAGCAAGGGTAAATGCGAGGTCCTAGAAGCAGGAGACAACATTTCTTTGGCTGTTACTTGGTGTTTTATAATCAGCCTTCCAGCTCCTTCCTGAGTCCTGAAGTCTCACGCCATCCAACCCACTATGCAGTAGCTGCCATTCATCTCCACATTCACTTCCTGCACTGTCACCTACATGTGGGGATGGCCACGGTGCCATGAGAGCCAGGCATCCTGCCACCTGCTGCTTGGGGCTGGAGCTCCTGGGGAAGTGGGGGGTGATTCATCTTCTCGAGACAGGTGGGCTGTCTTCCCTGCCCCTGAAGCTTCGGAGTGCACTGGCACAAGGACAGTCCCCCACCTCCACCCACCTAGTACCACACGCAGCCAGGCAACTTTAGAGCACACTGTCCACTGCTCAGGTGCTTCATGGGGGTCCCATGAGCCATGCCCCCAGGACCTACTAATCTCCTCTCCTCTGACTCAGTCACCTCTCCCAAGGATATGAAGCCTGAGTCAAGGGCTCCCCAGGTATCACCCTTGAGGGCCTGCTGTGGCTCTCCAGACCAGGCTGTCAACAAGCACCCACAGGTCCAGGGGCAGACCTGCACTCCTGGGTGGGCCCAATGTCTGCCCAAAGGGACCCCACACACATTCATCTCCAATGCTAGAAGCTAGGCCCCATGGCAGACCACCAGGGCCCATCCCTGCCTGCACACCTGGATTGTACCCACAGGACTAACTGAGCTCCACAGAGAGAAGACAGTCAGGGTAAATGTGTGGGCCAAGTGTCAGCTGAGACATGGGGGCCTCCGGGGATGGGAGGGGCTGGCCCTGAACTGAGCCTTGAAGAGATAAGTACAGCATGTCACACGCAGGAACATGGGCAGAGCCTAAACAGGAGCCGGGGCTCTCAGAGGGAGCCCCAGCAGTGAGAAGAACTCAGGGTCTCCTCTGAGAATGGCACAGAGTGGGCCATGAGTCTGGGCTACGTCTACCTCCTTAGTGCCTACACTAACAGGCATCTGTGACAGATAAGCCCGAGAGCTGGGAAGGAGAAAGGGAACAAGGGAGAGATGCAAAGGAGACCTCAGAGGCACCCACCAAGGCAGGCTGTGTAGTTAGTCCGCTGGCAACAGGGAGCCAGAGGCAGTTTCAGAGCAGAGGAACAGAGCATCTGGTTTCTTTCCTGGAAGATCTCACTGGCATTGCTCCCTCCTGAGAGATCTTGGGGACCCAGTACCTGCTGTCTGGATGGAGAGCTCTCTGTCCACGGCAGCTTAGGTGGAGAAAATGCAAGGCCACAAGAGCAGGCCTTTCACTGCAGCTGGAAAGGCTGAGCTACTTCCCTTCTGGCAGAGGCCAAAAAGAGCCTGCAGCACAGAAGAGAAGGAAGAACCCCAGGCAGGAGCTCCCTGGCTCACCTCAGCTCACATTTGCATGCAGCACCTTCTCCCCCACTGGCCAGATTTCCTGGCAGCTAGCCCAGCAGCCCCAAATACACAGTGGCCCCTCTCCAGGGGCAAGGAGAAGCCACCACCTGCAGGAAGGTGCTGAGGCTGGACCGGGCCAGGTTCCACCTGTCCACTCAGCTCCCCACCACTTAATAGCTAAGGAACCTCAGAAGCTCAAATGCATCCCTGTCTCTGTTAGCAAAAGCAGAGCCAGTCACTGTACAGTGGTCCCTCACTTATCATAGAGGTCATGTCCCAGACACTCCTGTGATAAGTGAAAATCAGCAAAGTAGCGGCATTATATTTATTTCAGTATTTATGTATATTTTAAAGCTTCCCACACTCTTATAAACCTTTCCCACACCTTTAAAAACACTTCTAATGTTCTTAACCATTTTCTAAACTCATAAACCTACATAATTTAACAACATACGTATACTATATGGTATTATAAAATCCTACAATATAGTGAAATATCCACATTAAATAATTTAGATTAGTGCTTGCTTCAGCAGCACATATACTAAAATTGGAATGACACAGAGATTAGCATGGCCCCTGCACAAGGATGACACGCAAATTTGTGAAGCATTTCACATTTTAAAAAATAATAGTAATTTAGATTACTATATTTTCAAAACCCGCAAAACAGTGAGTCCACCGCAAAATAGCAAGGGACTACTGTACAAGCTTTATTTGGCCAGAGTTAGAAGGAAACCTGGGAAACAGAGGTCCAATAAGAACCTTGGAGCCTGCCAGGAGTCTGCTTTCAACTGCTCAGAACCCAGAGGCTGGGAAGGAAGGGGAGACCTGGCCAGGTTGGATAGGAAGGCCCTTGGAAGAGAAAAGTGTATAGGGGCACTGTGAGGGGGTGCAGGCTTAGCCCACCCCATTCCTATCTCAGAGCCCCAGAGACTCTCTGAAGCCATGCCCCTGAGAGCCCCTGGTGCAAAGGATCTAACGCAAGAAGAGAACTGTCACTACTCTGCTTGTCCCATGTCAGCCACTGTGCAAGGCAGAAATTACTGTCCCTAATTTATAGGTGAGGACTCAGAAGCTGAGCTCTATGCCTAGGGTCACCCAACTGGCAGGGAGTCTGATTGAAACAGCAGTGTCCCTCCACCCCACCCACCTCCCTCCAGCCTAGGCTGCCCTGCTGCTATTTGCCTTAGGCGGGGAATGTGCTCCGCATCTGCTCAGCCACTCCCGCCCCCAAGGACTTTCCTGGCTCTCTTCAACCCATGCTTTGGGACCCTGTATGCTACCCCCACCCCTGCCCTGCAAAGATGGTCCACATCAGACACTGCTGAGACAGCTAGAATTGGTCCTTGCCTGACAGAACTAGCTGGCTGGACCCATCCCTGGAGAACTGCTGGGTAATGGGCACCGAGAAGCTGCACTTTAACCAAAATGTTCTGGAAGCACTAATTTGGAAAAATAAGGACTGAGATCCGCTGCTCTCAAGAAAGCTTTGGGGTCTAGTTTGGAAAAAGGGAAAACAATTGCTATGTGATCCTAGCAGGACCGAAGCAAGCCGAAATGGCCGCTGGGTAGACAGAGAAGGAACCCTTCCTGAGAGGTACAACCTCAGCAGGGAGCAAATATCACCTTTATGTGGCAACAAGAAAGTTTCCCCTTCTCTCAAAAACAGCCCCTTCCCAAAGCCACAGATAGAAGCTTCCAGCTGGCACTATGCTCACGCAGCACGCTTTCCCTCCATGTCCTCTCCCACCGAAGCCCACCTCTGCTGTGGAGAAAAGGTCACTTTGCCCAGAGTCACTAAACATTACACATTAACAGCCCTAGTGGTTTCCAGCAGCTTCAAATGTTGGCTTTGGCCAAAAACTTCTTTAAAAGGCCATCCTCCCTTCTTACTCCATCGCGTTTACATTTTGTAACACTTAAACAGAACTGCTTTTAAGCAAAGATATGCAGTACTTTCCACACAAGTCCCCATAAAAAGGAAAATCTGGGGAACGTCCACATTAGCCATCTGGGGAATCTCTCTAGAATGGTAGTGTTGGAGGCTCTGGCCTCCAGGACCTGGGGCCAGGCTTCTTCCTCCCAGGAGACTTCCAGCCTCCCGGCTCGGCCCTGACTATCAGTCCCCAAGAAGGGACATGCTCAATAGAGGCAGCATCTCTACTCTGGTATTTGCACAGCAGCTATAAATGAGCTCTCTAGTATGTTGAGGACAAAGACTACCGAAGCAACTTCAGCTAGTCACATTTGACAACTTGACCTCATAAGGTAGCTATGACAATTATCGCCACTTTGCAGATGGGAAACTGAGGCCTGGAGAAGCCAAAAGACCTGCCCACCCATGATTCCACAGTCCACGCCCTTTGAGGTTCTTTCTCTGCCTCAGCCAACAACAGGGAGTCTGAAACCTCTGGCAGGTGGGAGGTCCTTCTGTCCTGGCTGAGGACATCGGCCATCTGACCTACCCACCATCAGTCCTTCTGGGGCTGGCTCCTTTCTCCCAGCCTCCCAGCTGGGCCCTACGTATCAGTCGCCAAGAGGGACAAGCTCAGTAGAGGGAGCACCAGGAGAAACTGATACTCTGGTGGTGGAAGGCTGGGATAGGACTCCCTTTCCATTGATGGTGTTTGTTACTCTGCATCTCCCTGAGCCAGGCATCCTTCAGTGCTCAAACTACCTCAACTGGAGGTTTGCTTTTTGGTGTTAAATTCCCTCAGGTGGCCCACAGTCATTTTTAAAAGCTGGTTGAGCTCCAGCAGTGCCTGTCATCTAGCAGTGGGGACAGCCCGCCATCTAGCGGCTGTCTAACGAACCTGTAGGTGCCAAGTGGCAGGAGCAAAGCCTAGGATCTGTGGGACCTAGATGTCACCTGGTCCACTTCAGGTTCAGAGAGGGGAAAGCGACCAGTGTAAAGGCATGCATTAGCATCCTGTCAGCACTCTGGAAGGCCCAGGCAGCAGAATTACACAGTTGTTTTGTTTTGTTTGTTTTAATGTATTTAGTACAGGGTCTACAGGGTCTCATTACCCAGATCAGACACAGCGATCCTCCTGCTTTCAGCCTCCCAAGAGCTATTACAGGAGTGCGCCACCACATCGTCTCAGTCACTGTCTCAGCACACCCCAGGGGCAGGCCAGCACCACACACCAGTGTTCAAATCCCAGTCCCTGAACCTGTCTGAGCAGGCACTTTAGTCCACTGAGCTATCTGGCCGGCCCAGAACTACACGTTTGAGTACAGCCTGGGAAACTTAATGAGGTTCTGTCTCAAAATAAAAAATCAGTTAGGGATGTAGCTCATTGAGAAGGCCTTGGGCTCAGTATCAATACAATCAATCAATCAATCAATCAATATGTCTCCAGGACCATACGCCAGCTCTTGGTCATCAAAAACAGGCACCCCTAATTTTCCTGGTTGTAAGGAAGCTGCCTATCTGAAACCACCTCTCAATTCCTATGCGTGTAAAGAGAAAGAGGTATCCCATTCTTGGGGTGATCCATAGTCCTGGTCCTGCATCTTTGATTCTGTTTATCATTTTGAATAGTAAGTGTCCACACACAAAATATGAAAAACACAAAAAAGTTTAGAGATTGAACCCTGTGCTTCACACTGAGCTACATCCACCCTTTATTTTATTTTATTTTATTTTATTTTATTTTATTTTATTTTATTTTATTTTTGAGACAGGTTCTTGCTAAATCATGTTGCACCAGCTGAGCTCACACTTGTACTCCTCCTGCCAAAGTGCTGGGATGACAGCTATGCCACCACACAAAGGGATGACGTCACACAAGGCTTACATATATTTCAATTTTTACACACAATAGCATGCAACTCTCAGGGCTCTTAACACCTCACAAGGAATCACTGCACGTTGGCTCGTAAAGAGCACCCTCACGCTCGTGTAAAGCAACACTGCGGCCTACCCCATGTGGCAGTATCCTGAGCTGCCATGGTTTATTTAACCACTCTCCACTTGGTGGACATTACATCATTTCCAACAGCCATTGCTATCAGCCAATGTATTATAGGGAAACACAGTAAAATAAATTCCTGGGAGTAGACTTGCCAGGACTACCAGTTGGGATTCATTTTGATCTCATGTACCAGAAAGCCACACGTAAGAAGAGTTTAGGTATGCAGGCCCTCGTCATCTCATGTAAAAGAAGTCTTGATGGAAATAGTTCCAAAGCACATGGCAGCCCCACTTGGGGCCCACAGTGAGGTTGTGTGATTTTCAAAATTGTCCTCTCCAGAGGTCATACTCTCTTGATTTCTACCATCAGTATACAGAATTTTCCTGCAGCCTGGCCAGCATCACACCATCCCATTTAACAGGTGAAAATGATGTTCATTGTATTAACTTGTATTTCTCTCTTTTTCTGCAGTGCTAGGGATCAAAACCAGAGTCTTGGCTGGCACCCTGTCACTGAGCGATACTGCTAGTTCATGTATTTCTCCTTTTATGAGCAACACTGAACATCTTTTCATGGACCTAAAAGGTACTTCCTTTTCCATAGATTACCTGGTTATACTCATTGGCCACTTTCCTTTTATGTTTATGATTTTGTTTGTATTGAATTTTTGAAATTCACCCATATAAAGTACACAATCAGTGATTTTTTTTTATATTTACAAGGTAGTGCAATTATCACTACAATCTAATTTTAGGTCACTTCATCCCCTCAAAAGAATCCAGGCACTCCTCACCCTGGTCCACCTCCAACACCTATCCTCAGGGGCAAGTAACTACTTCTCTTTTTTCTCCTAATCATTTTGTCTAATCCGGACACATCATATCAATAGAATCACGCCATATGTGATCCTTTATGGATAACTTCCTTCACCTAGCACAGTAGTTTCAGGTTCTTCCACACTGCAATATGTATGAGTACTTCATTCTTTTGTGTAGCTACTATTATTCTGTTGTATGAATATACTATATTTTGCTTATTCATTTACCAGCTGATGGACATTTGGGTTATTTTCATTTGTTGGCTATTATGAATCATTAATGATGCCATGAATATTCATGAACAAGTATTTGAATAGCCACATTGAGGGGACAAATGTTTTCATTTCTCTTGGGTAGATACCTCCAAGAGGAACTGCTTAGTCCTATGATAATGCTGTTTAACCTTTGGAGGAACTGTCACACTGTTTTCCAAAACAGCTGCCATTTTAGATTCTTTTTTTTTTTTTTAGTGTAAATTTTTTTTATTGTGAAAACAGATGAATCTTTAGTTGGCTTAACTCACCATGTGATTAAATGAAATTTCAGCATTTACTTTGTGTTCACACTATATCTTCTCATTTTATTTTTTTTCCATAATTTTATTGAGAAACAAATAGCAATGAGACAGTTTCAAACCAAATTGGTAGGACAGTTTCAATAATTAACACATTGCATACATTCTTCCTAGTAGTTAATTACTGTAGATCTTCTCATTTTATAATGTACAATTGATTTTCTTTTTTTCCATAATTTTATTGAGAAACAAGTAGCAATGAGACAGTTTCAAGTCAAATTGGTAGGACAGTTTCAATAATTAACACATTGCATACACTCTTCCTAGTGGTTATTTACTGTACAAGATACAGACATGATATCCTATTTACAA